AGAGTGATAGAAAACTTCACGGGCTTTCAGAATATGTAATTACTTTTAAAAAAGTGTGGTCTTATAGTGAAAATATATTCGAAATACCGAGTCTAACTATTTTTGTCCAGGGGGATACACGTAGGTCTTCTCAAACAAAGCTTCAAATTTTATAAAAAATTTTCGAAAAATATTTTCGCGGTTATTTTATTTTTGGAAAGAATACCTTTTTACTTGCAATGGTATTCAATAAACAGCTTCATATGATTCAAGCACGAACCATGATGCTACCTATCATCATATGTTGGGTGCCTTCAAAAACTTCATATAAATATATTACAGATAGGCCATTTTTTCTAGACTAGAACGAAAAAAGCATGCATAAAGTTATTCACCGTTTTTCTTAACACACGGTTTTCAATCAGGAAAATTGAAGCAGCTTCCACGACATTCACCCTATAAACTACATTCTTTTTCGTTTTAAACGCCTAAATTAGAGTAAAATTTTGTTCTACCCGATTTTTATAGTTGATTTTCGTGCTGAGAAAAGCAAGGTCTAATATCATGAAATGGCAGGTTTTATTGTTTATTTTAACACTTTATGCACTAAAAGGGCCATACAAAAAGGAACCCGATCTCAAATTCTACCCGATGAGAAGCTATACATAGGTATTAGCTTTAATTTTAAATTATCCCGACTTGTGCACTTCTGCCAGTGACGAAGCTATAGTGATTCTCCGAAAGGCCACAATGGACTGTAAATTACCGATGAGTTTGCTCTGGTTTGATATATTGGGCTGAAATATTTACCGGAAGTGTTTCTCACTAGAACCACTCATTTCTAAAGATTTCAATCCAAATGAATCATTCTAACTGAAAAATCTATTGTATGGAGGGAGAGGAGGAGGCAGCAAGGACTCAAATATTCATTAATGTTTGCCTGATATATATAGATTCGAGTCTTCATCAACCAATGCTGATGAATCAAAGAAAATCAAATCTCTCATAAATGATTTGCAAGACGATCTAGCAGACTCACGCATCGAGACTGGCGACAAATTGGAGTCGGTGGAGACTAACATCACTGATCTTCAATCACGATTCGATCAGATGGAAAGTAGTTTTAAACAATGGTCGAAGGAAATGAAAGAGGTAAGCTTGAACTGTTCCCCTCATGCAATATTGCTGTTCTGAATGTGGATATAGATAAAGGAATCACTGAATTGGATGATGATGGCAATGGCAGCGGCAAAAATGAGTGAATTGGAACCTCCACTCATGAAAAACACATCGAGTAAGATCAAAATTTCACTTGTGAGCAAGAGCAAAATAGTTCATTAGGAGTGTTATCCCAAGAAAGAATATTTTGATTTAAGATTGAGTTTCAAGTGGCAAGTAATAATGTTTGATATTCTCAAGTACACCAACTGGGTTCATGTGATTGAAGTTGCGAAAACTGCTGGAAGTCATGCTATGAGAGCCATGATCGAAGTCGCTCAATTGATGTCACTACACTACACTGTAAAAAAGCATAGAATAATAAACCGCTTACCATAGGATTTATGAAAGTAATAAACCCTATCGTAGGGCTTATTATTCTATGCTTTTTTTACAGTGTATTTTGGCTCGTATTTTTACTGTCGACATGATTGAGTGGAAGGGTGTGGATGTAAATGACAGTGTATCTATTTTCTCCAATCTCACACCTTATGAGTGACATATTTTCAGGTTAGTGTGTTGCTTGATAGATTTTATATAGGTGCTACTAAAGTTGCTTGTCAGTTGAGAACATCATGAAGAACTAAACATGTTTGTACTATGCCAAAGTTCCTTCTAATAATATGAGACGCAGTTTTAAAGAACTTTCATCGCAGATTTTACGTATCACAATTGACATACAAAACTTTTCAAAAGTTTTTCTAGTAGAGTTTGAAACATTCTTTCAAAGAAACTCATTCTTGAGAAAACAGAGCTCGATGACTCAGAAAATTTTGCGTGTAACAACAAGAAAAGCTTTTGATATAGTGTGACCTACCCATTCTATCTTCTGATTCTGTAACAAATTGTTTTAATCAATTATTGAAGAACACCTGTGTTATACTTATAATTTTAGTGAGTGTCTTTTCCAAGAGTTTATCCATTTCAAATAAATCTTTAAGAATATTCTTAACATACTCAAGCATATCGGGATTAAACATATGAGCCAAAGTGATGACATCCGTCGAGCAGTATTTTTGTATAACTAGTGCTTTGAAAAAAATACAATACCATACGGAACCAACAAATAGTTTCGTTCTCTCTGCGAAACTTGAAAAAGACTTCAAATGTTGCATCGAAATCGAAACCTTTGAAAAAGTGTCCTAGATTCTTAGCAATCATTTTGAAACTATCTTGAGTTTTTACGAAATCTTTTTGAAGGTTTCGATTTCGTTGCAAAAATGATTCCGTATCGTACCAAATTTTTTTGCGTGTAGTGGCTCGCGTAAAATGTCCCCTAGATGTTTAATACGGATTATCTTGAAAACAGAATTTCGGTACCATAGCAAAACATGATTATTTTGTATGTTGAAAATTGTGGCACATTCCTTATATATCGCTGATATCATTGAACAACTGCAACGTTTTTCAAACTTGGTTAGAAGAATAAAAGTTTCGATATAACTACTAGAAAAACATTATTTTAAACTATCTCGCATTTTTCTCGATATTATCAGAACTCCGAAAAAATTACTAAATCATCCGTATCTGTTAGACTAACTATGGTCGACAGCGAAAGAAACTTTTTTGCTCATAACAGACAAAAAATGTCCAGTGAATAGTTTTTGCTTTCCAAGGATATTGTTTTCTTGAGCTTTAGCAGTTGTTACCACATAAACCAAAGTGAAAAAGCCAAGTGTATGTCAGAGCGTCTCAACATTCTAGATTTTTTCGTATATAGTAGATGAATTAAGAGACCAAAAAAGGAATCGATCTTTAATGTTTCTTGCACCTGAAGAAAATTGAGTTCAGTTGGTCATTATATTGTGGAAGAAGCAGTAGCAAAAAAGCCATGGCATGTTTTTAATCTTGTTACTTCAATCTCTCACATAGGACACATGTACATAAAATTAAGTCTAGCACAAATTCACTTTACCCTCTTAGACCTACCTATGCTGAAAGTTTTTTTCTGGCTCAGCATTTCGAACAAACTCTTTAACAGAAGATATGAAATTTTGAATCAACCGATTCATGTCATTTTCTTGAAATGTTATGACAATAACTACGAAACCCATGAAAAACACAAGTTGGACAAATTTCATCTACCAGGTTTAGACGAAAATTATTCAATGACTGATAAATTGGATTTTTCTTCCTTGCTTTTTAATCAATTTTTCTTTAATATCGTTCTCAGGAACCAATTCATTCAGTCAAAAGCAACAGTCTGAAACTAGACGTTGTCAGTCTAATCAGCAATTGAATAGAGAACGTACAACGGCAACACAACTACAGTTACAGCAAGAACGATTAACAACATCCGAAGTTCGTATTGAAATGGAGCATGACTCAAACAATGACAATAGTGCTTAGAATTATGTGCTCGTTATTCAATCTTGAATTGCTTAAATTGAACATTAAAAAAGATACATGGAATATAGACTAGAAACATTCCTAAACATAGATCCTTTTTATTTAAAACTCATTGAGAAGTATAGATCATAATATAATAAATATCTGCTCATCTTCCAAAACGAGATTTTTGCACAAGCCTTACGAACAAGAATATTATACCTGTTGTGAATATCTTGAGTTCCAGCTAATTGATATCTCAATCATGCATTAGTCACAAATATTTTTTTCGCGAGGGTTGAGACACGCTCCAAAACTGAAATTACACTTTGAAAGTATATGAATGTCGATGTTATGCACATGTCAGTGAGTGTGAATGTAGCTCGGAGTGGGTACGAGTTCTGAGTGTTTTTCTGTAGGTATGGGCGTACATGAAGATAATGCATGACTATGTAGATGAGAAGAAATCTCAAAACGTCCAGCAAGTGTCGAATAAACTCACAACTAAAGTATGGTGTGGATGCGAAGGTGTTATAGCTCCCAGAATACTTGGTATTTCGGTATTGCTGCGGCTTATTATTTTATCAAGTTACAGATAGGGAACTGCAAAGTGGTCCCGGTCCCGGTCCCGGTCCCGGTCCCGGCGGGACCGGGACCGGGACCGGGACCAAAATTTGACATTTTTGCGGGACCGGGACCGGGACCGGGACTAAAAATTTTTCACACTGGTCCCGGTCAGTTTTTTATGCAATATATTTTCACGTTTATTATTTTGACATGATTAAAGATCTGTAAATCAGATATTTTTATTTGCTATTTCTATAAAAGTCGTTACTGACTACTAGTCTATCTGCAAGGATCCGAATTTTCCAATTGCACAGGTTTTTAAATACATAGAAAACAATCAACACAACACTATACGTAAACTTAATTTGTTCATTCTTTGATCATTCCTTTATTTAAGTCTTATCAGATAATAGTGAATACATGTGTCGCCGTTTATTTTTTTTTGACAATAGTAATAGCGACTCAGTATAAATAATCAATTCGATAATAAATCCATTAGGTAGAGCAGTAGATATAAAAGAAGAGAGAAATGAGTCAATGACTACTACGAAGTACATGAGAATTTTTAACAAAATTCAATGGTTATTTTTATTCATTCAAGCTTTCAATGAAATACTCTCACCATCATTAGGAAAGATAACAAGAGAAAAAGAAGACGACACATACATATATATAGTCAGCTGATTATGACAAGAAAACAAAGAAAATGTATATTCGCCAATATATATTTTCTTTCTTTTCTTTGTTTTCTTGTCATAATCAGCTGACTATATATATGTATGTGTCGTCTTCTTTTTCTCTTGTTATCTTTTCTAATGATGGTGAAGGTATTTCATTGAAAGCTTGAATAAATAAAAATAACCATTGAATTTTGTTAAAAGTTCGATAATATTCTTATATAAACAAAGATGGCATCATCGACCATACGTACATATAACAAAGATCAAATTTTAGAGATGATCAATACTAACAGCTCATCTATTGCGTTTCGTAAACCAAAGCATGCCAAAAGTGTAAAATGGGCCAATTATCTTCAAATATTTGTTAATGATTCTCCTCAATACTTTATATCATGTATAAAATGTCATTGTATTTTGACATGGAAACCAAATGATGGTACTAATGTAATGGACAAACATGACAAATCATGTAAACAACGCCCATCATCATCGTCAACACAACAATCAATCGAATCATTTTATTTACCAAACGACAAATTTAAAAAACAATTAATTAATTCTACAAAACGTAAATTAACAAATGTTCTTGCTGAATGTTGTGCTGTAGATAGTTTACCATTTAGTGTATGTCGTGGTGATGGTTTTAAAGAATTAGGTAATAATTTACTTAAAGCTGGTCGTCAATTAGGTGCAACAGTTTCGATTGAAGAAGTTATTCCTGATCCAACAACGGTAAGTTAAGACTATTTCTTTTATTTAATATTAAATATTATTTGCATCATTATTGTTTCTGTAATTTTAGATTAGTAGAGAAATCGATAAAATCTACAGCGCACGCAAAGAACAATTAATTTCATATTTGTCAACTCTTGATCATTTCGTAATAACCGTCGATTTTTGGACGGAGTATCAAACAAAAATCAGCTATGGTGGTGTTACATTACATACATATTCGGAAGAATATGGTCTTTTAGTATTTGTATTAGCTTGTAAACCATTTGATTTACCATCTCAAACTGCTGATAATGTTCGGTTATTTACTGATTCAATACTTGAATCATACAATTTACCATTGAATCATGTAAAGTATGTTGTATGTGACAATGAAAACAAGATGCGTGCATCTTTTCGATATGATATCAATCGAATAGGATGTTCAGCTCATTTCATTAATAAGATCATTGAACATTCACTTTGTATACCTAATCCTGATTGTGAAGATATTCAACGATTATTTAATAGCATACATGATCTTGTAGTTTATTTAAGATCTTCACATAATCAATGTAAATTATCTGTCAAACTTCAGCTTTTTTGCAAAATTAAATGGAACAGTGCATATAGTATGCTCTCCAGTTTTATCAATGTATATCCTGAATTAAATATGGTTATTAATGATAAAGCTCAAAAATTAACTTTTGCACAAATCGATTTTGATGAATTAATTTCTTTTGCTAAATATTTGAAATATTTTGTTGATGTTACAGAAATGCTAAGCGCAGAGAAAACACCAACAATTTCTTTAGTTTTACCACTTAAACAACGTCTTATAAATATATCTAAACCAAATCCTACTGATCCAGAATCAATTATGAAGTTTAAAAAATATTTTGAAAATAAAATTCCAACATACTGGGAAATTGATGATATACATTTTATTGGTACTGTTCTTCATCCAAAATTTAAACACTTACAAATATTGTCAAATAAAGATAAAAAAAAGGCTTACGAATTAATAAAGAAGGAAATTAACAAACGAAATAGTAAGCAATATTTACTCTTTGATAATAGAATAAAATTAATTTATCGATAAGACTATATTATATATATATCTGTTTTCTATGTTTCAGATCCTCAATCAGATTTATCATTTAATTCTGAAGTTTCATCAACACAATCAATAGTAATATCATCAACTGATACAAACGATCTTTTATCTGGATGTTATGATCAAATCTCTACAACTTTAAAAGCATCTGATACTAATGATGAATTAAAAAGATATTTACAATCTATCGACAGTTTAATTGATAATGAAGATTTATTTGATTTTTGGAGAAGACAAAAATTTGTATATCCAGTTCTTTATTCAATTGCACGTGATATACTTATTGTTCCAGCTACCAATACTGCAGCTGAACGTTTATTTTCAGCTAGTGGTAATACAGTAACTGAAACACGAAATCGTTTATCATCACAAAAAGTTGATAAATTGATGTTTATTAAGAAGAACGTAGCAATTTTAAAAAAAATTTTTGGTAAAATTGCAACGTCAAATAATCTTGATGCTAGTGTTGATACAACTGCTCAAAAAGGTGAAAAACGTTTATATGAACATTTACTCGATGCTGATAATAACGATATTGATAATCTTAATAATTCTAGTGATGATGAAGAATAGTAAGAGACAATTAAAGTACACAATCAACTAACTGTGTAATTTCATTTCATGTATATGCTTTCGTCATTGTTTTACCATTTGTAATTTAAACTCTTTAGTTTTTTAATTGTACTTGACTATATTTGAGAACGAACTTTAATACTTGTTGAATATGAAAAATAAATATACAAACTCAGACTCAATCTTGTGAAAAATCATTCCGAGACTTGTTCAAAAAAATATCAGTTTCAATTCTTTCGATCTGTATTTTGACATATGAAACTGATTCTTGACGTAACATCGACTCAAAGACACTTATATCGATTTTGTATACATTCAACTTTAACACTGGATATAAAAGAAATCTGGTACTGTTCACGAATCAAAATCATTTATGTCAATTTGATGTATTCATAAATGTACACAGATCGTAAAAAAAGTTGCTTGGTTTTAGAAATGAAGCCATTGTCAAAGACCGGGACCGGGACCGGGACTGGAAAAAAATTTGACCGGGACCGGGACCGGGACCGGGACTGAGAAAAAAAAAATGACCGGGACCGGGACCGGGACTAAAAAAAGTGATTTTGCAGTTCCCTAGTTACAGAGAATACTAAATATAGAAGATCCACGCATATAAATTTGCATCAACATCCAATATCATATGTATTCGTAAAATCAATAGATTCATATATATATAGAAGAAAATAGAAGAAATCCAAAGCATCACGTGGCGCGCTTCATGTATTACAGGTGGGCGAATATTCAACATAGTTATGAACTACTCAGGGCACCCACATCTGTTACTATATGCCGTGCGGGCTTATATATTTGTGTGACTTTTATGCAATGCTTTCATTGTTGAGATATATTGGGGGTCAATATGTATCAGAATATCTCCTCGTACTGACAATGATTCATCTATCTATTGTTGTATGTAGCATAGTTTCCATTGAAATAATCATGAATGGTTCTTGTTAATATGTGATAAAGTGCTGATATTTGTCGTCGGTCATGTTTAAAACTCTTTCCAATGAATTGAAGTGTTAAGTGTATTTCATAAAGGATGTATATAAATCTAGTATATTCCATGTCGACATAGAACTAATTGAGATAAGATAAAATTATTTGCATTTTTGTTATGATATACATATGTGTTGACTTTCTATGGGATGTTTTGTTATAGCAAATGATGATGCCGTCAATCGTAATATTGATCGAATTTATTAATGTCGAATAAATCTATAATACGCAAAAGCTATTCATTTAGAGTATCTTATGTCTTGATTGTGGTCATGGGTAATATAATATCACTATGAGAGGGTAAATTGTATTTATTATGAAAGGAAACTCATTATAAAAGTAATCTAATGAATATGTAATAATAAATGTGGTTGTTGGATAGGAATATAAACAACCACGAAAAACCAGACAAGTGAATATAATCAAGAACTATTTCTACTACTGGTATAAGTACTAAAAATACAAATCATTGATTTCAATGATATTTAGTTTGAATAAATAAGTTGAATAATGATGAATAAATGCTGGTTGATTATGAAAAGACTGCTGAAGATTAAAAGAAGTCATGAATTGTAGAAGACAGCCTATGGAGGCGTTATTTTTTCTTGTCTCATTCAACGGTGAAGTCATGTTATGTATTATGTAGAATTTTTCTATTGATAATGACTTTTCACTTTGTTCAATTATTCGTTGTTCATCTTAATCTGACGATGAATCATCGACGTTGTTGACAATGTCATCAGGTGAACTGTCTAGATACTCATAAAAATACTCATTATCACCTAAATTTAAAGTCATTAATAAAATTTGTTCAACTAAATATTCTCTCTGCCAGTGTGTTATATATAAGGGAAGAACATCTGTTTCCAGATTTTCCCGTATACATACCCACACATCTTCAACCCTTTAGATTTCACTATATTGGAGGAAGTCTTTTTTGGTTTCGAACACATACGGTCATTTTGTATAAACACTAGAAGTCATTTGGGATTTCAAGGATAAAGAATTTCGCCGTGTATCATTTACTAGGTTCGGAAATCTGAACTAAAGCCTTAAACGATTTTAAAAACGCATCTGGTGTCATATCTGTACATTTCAGAGTATTTGATTCAAATATTTACATATTCAGACAGAATTTTTTATCTTTCCGCAATAGGCTCTATATCTGAACCAACGAAAAGAACAAAATGAGTAGGACATTTTCAGCCTTTTACTAACCACTCAGCTCATTTAGTTCGCCCTATCATTAGAATATGTACATAATTCATTTAGTCGATTATTAACAACAAGAATTTCATTGAATTTCAAGTTTCCAGTTAAACTTAGCTATCACCAGTGATTAATCATTAAGTAATGCAAGATAATATGGTTACTTTCATCCTTGTTTTACAATTTGATACTGGATTTGATTTTCATAGCGTTAAACAGCAATCAACAATGATCAAATTTTAGATTCAATCAGAATCTGACACGGAGTTAGTGCTTATCAACAGTTTTTTGCTAAAGAAGGAAGGAAAATTGAACAAAAGTAACATTGTATGGAAAGTGGTAACGCTGATCCATTGTCGCTATCTGGAATTTTTATCTTTTCCCCACATGATTTCCTGTGACATGGCTCAATAGAATTAAAATTACTGCTTTATTTTTCATTCTTCTTTTAGGACTTGCCAGCAATCTAAGCATATAAATAGAGCTCGACAGTTGACAACATTACACAACCACCAGTTTTGTTCACGTAAACAAGGTAGCTTGGGTTTTCTACAAAATGAACATAGTTTGTATCCTATACCGTTTTTTGTAAACATGCGAACAGTTCGTAATTCTTAAAAACCTGTAGCTTTTTCCAGTGTTACTTTTGAAAGTTTTCCGTTTCTCCTTTTCAGAGAACAATTATCTTCACGGATGTAAATTGACATGTGAGTGTCACAAGAGAAGGCACACACTCAACACATCCTATTTATTCGAAATATGTTGTATAATGCAATGTATTATGTTTTCAACGAGATGACATCATATGCAAAAGTCATACATAAATGGTTATGATAAAATGAAAGAATGGGCACTCTCTAAACATTTGTGACATCATTTGTCTATTACCAGATTGGCAATGTTATTTATGTTTATCAAAAGAAAAACCTAGAAGAGAAAATAAACATGATATTGTCAGAAAATTTCTCCTGATTTATCACTTCCGAGTTAGAAATATTATTCCCATGTGTGATAAAGCGCTATACATGCGATTTCTAGAATTGATTTAGTTTGTCGTTTCGTGTGAAACTGATCTTGAATTGGAAGATGTAGTTCAAGGTCTATATATTTATTCAGGACTTTTATATGTAGATCTCTTATGAATTGACCCATTTCTAAACTATTGCTACATTTTGACAATCGAAAATGAAACATTTGTTGTATTTTGGATACAATATCTAACTATATAAATGACGATAAGCTCTTAGATAACGGCTATCAAGAATACCATATTCAAAAACGGAAATTGAACGAGGATGCTTCATTATCGTACGGCGATTTTATGTGTAAGAATTCGAAACGAAATAAAGTAAAGAAAAAACTGAAGAAACATTTCGAGGAGCAATTAAGCGGTGTGAATGTGCATTATAGTGGCACATCCATACACTCCAAACACATAACCACACTTCATATCGACATCCACACACCTACAATACCCACCCAGAAATGGTTGAAGAGCTTCGAACCCGAACGAATTCGCCCTTGTTCGTTTGTGGTTCGAATTCCAGTGGAGAATCGACTTTTCTTTACCTTTATTTAAATATCGGCAAAATTCTTCCGTTTAGTGTCGAGCTGCTTCAACCACGTTAGGAATCAGAGAAATATCACTCTTCAATCAGTTCAATCCGACTTCACAGTTAAAAGAAATTGGACGTTCATTGAAAAAGCATCTAGAGTGACCAGTCCGTATCGATACGGTATGGGAGATGTTTTTTGCATGATCTCGTCAATGCGTGGAAATTCGAGTGTCTTCATTGGTCCTGAAGCTCCTTCTTGATCCTTACGATACATTAGGATTCCTCTTCGATCATCAATAAGAATTTCTCAATACTGATATATTCACAACGCCCGACCATGTTTGTTCGATGGTGTTCCTTCTATACGAAAATGCGTCGGTTACTTAGTTGAATAAGAAAGAAAGTTATCGACTTCTTTTCATGATTAAACTGTTCATGTGCTTGAAGAGTTTTTATTATAAAAGATGATCTACATAAGGCGGTTGGAGAAAGACTGAAAAGATTCTAGGAGAGACAACTTCTCGAGCTCTTTCTATAGGTGAAAGAATTAACGATTGTTATATAGGGATGATTATCTAAAAAGCTACGGAAAAATACAAATAAGCTTGGATTAAGAATCGAATTCTAATCAGACTCTGTTGGCATTTTTTAGACGTTATTACGAGAATCATTGCATTTCTGAGTTTTTTTTTAAATTAATATAAGAGTGAATTAAACAAGTGATGATAATTGTGATCGATGTTAAGACAACAATACGAGGTATGATGAAAAAGTGTATTGTAGTCACTTTGGATTTCGAGATGAATTCTTTGTTGTTGACTTGAATTCCGACAATGATTGTTTAATTTGTTGAGGTGACCATCTCAAACTTGGTGCATCAAAATATGGTACTGGTTCATAATGTTGATTTCCAGAAGGATGCCATGGAGTCGATGATTCTCGAGTAAATTTGGACCGCTGATTTGAATTCGTCTTTGATCGAGAACCATTTGTATCTTCTTCAGGCTTTTGTATTTTGTTCTCCTCACTTGGTGTTTTAGGTCGTTTATATTTGTTTGGACCAGGTGGATACCAAGCAGGTTGTGAGCTCTTGCGTGGTTTTACAACAATTTCAGGTAGGTTATTTGGTGGTTTAGGAGGTGGATCTTCATGCACAACAGGTACATGGTAAGCTCCAGTCGGTTTCCATTGTTTACGATCTGGAATGACGCTGATGGTCGATCGAAGAGATTGACG